CGTTGTGTGTAAGTGACAACGAATTAAGTAGTGTCAAGAAACGGTGATGTACAGGCATAAATCCTGACAGTGCAAGTCTCTAGAGGAAATACTGTGCCTCACACAGTTACAGCACAAATCCTAGCAGTCCAAGCATGTGTAGGGGATACTGTGCCTCAGAGATCAAATTTTTAAGGTTTTTTTTTTGCTAGAATGTAAGGGGACTTCAAGGAAATTGGTTTTACATTTCTGAACTTACACATAACCAAACATTATGCTCGTGCAGTTCCACTTCCCTCCTAACAATCGTAATGCTGGATTTATCACGATAAGCACAGGAGTCTTGGATTTATGCGTTTTTTTTTTTGTCAGTTTCATGATACGAGCACTGAAAAATGACAAACCTACGATTGCTGAGGTTCACTGAATTGATGTGATGAAAAACAAGTGATGAATCGAATGGTTGCGCGAAATCATAGACCCCATTATTGAGATCGGTGAGATGTGAAGCGTATGAATCGATATGGGTGCAGCCGCCTTTTCGTTTTCCACCTGCTACCGAGAATATTCGGTTTGACTTCACACCTGCACCATTGTATACCGAAACATCCTTATTGCTTCCGTAAGCTGCCGCAATACAGAGGCCTATATCCAGGAGACTTTTTAAATGCAGTAATTTTTGCCTGAAAAAAAAAAAATGAAAGGTTTCGGTTTTGGGGTTTTTCTTTTCCTAGATTTTGCATAATTTCTCTGTTTGTTTTACTTAGACATCTAGAAAATTTTCGCATTTTTTTTAAAAGCAATTTCGCTATTGCTACTTTATGGGAATGAAGTCAACATCCGCTAACTCATAAGGACATTGCAGTAAGAAAAACACAGAGAAGAGGAAAAAATCTGAGGATATTTTTGGATTTTTTGATATGTTTTTGGAAAAAAAGCTCGGTGAAAAAAACAGAAGTTGTGGGAGATGTGGCCACATCCAAGCAGTAATTCTAAGACTGGAAACTAACAAAAACACTAAGTTAGCAAAAAATGGAGAAATTGAGGGGTTTTGCAAATATTTCTAAAACTCTCGGACGTTTCCTAAAAAAGAATAACTTTACTTTCATTTAAAA